CTGCAAGGATATTGCCCAGGGGATGCCAGGATGTTTTGATGTTTTTACCATCCTGTCGGTCTTCAGTCCTGCCGGCACAGGGGTTTAATCCACTGCGCCACCGGGGGCTCCAGAATGGTGAACTGTATAGTTTGGTTTATCACTTAAAAAAAATAGGTTTCATCTAAAAAAAAAAAGTGAAAAATCCCATATTCATTATTACCACTTGTATCCATATATTTTGGCCCAAGTCCTCCAAGATAATTTCTGAATATGTCTGAAAATAATATTTAACTAAAAATGCAGATCTGGTTTAATGACGTTGCTTTTTGCCATTACACAAAGTTCCACATGAACTGGGTGTAATTTAGGGCCCTTCCACACATCTCTATATCCCAGAATATATGAAGGCAGAAAATCCCTGGGTTATCTGAGTATGGACTCAGATAACCCAGTTCAAAGCAGATATTGTGGGATTTTCTGCCTTGATATTCTGGGATATAGGACTGTGTGGAAGGGCCCCTAGTGTATTCAAAAGCTGCCCAAACGCTTAAGTAAAATTTTGTTTAGGCTTCTTTCTAGTGCACCCAAATAAGCACTGACCCAAAGAGAAGCTGGAATTAACAGTTTTGGAATATGTCAAAACAATAACATCTCCTCTTTTCCTCTTTTCCCTTCCACACAGCCATATAACCCAGAATATCAAGGCAGAAAATCCCACAATATCTGCTTTTAATGGGTTATCTGAGTCCACACTGCCATATATTCCAGTTCAAATCAGAAAATGTGGGATTTTATTCAGCTGTGTGGAAGGGGCCAGTGACAGCTTAAATACCTTAAAGGCACCAGATCCCATCTGATCTTGAAAGCTAAGCAGGGTCAGCTCTGGTTAGTATTTGGATGGGAAATTGCCAATGAGAGACAAAAACAAGCAGTACCACCTTTGATGCCCTATCTATACAGCTCTATAATGCAGTTTAAGAATGCAGATTAACTTCATTGGACTGGATGTAGATGCATATAATCTAGTTCAATGCAGTTCAGTCTGCATTATATGAGTCTACATTGACCATATAATGCAGTTCGAGCTGCATTATATGGCAGCGTAGATGGGGCCAGAGTCTTCCTTACCTAAGAAAACCTTATTAAATTCATGAGGTCATCATAAGTCAATTTGAAGAGACATACACACATACAAAGTGTATACACACATACATCAGGCAAATGACACTTTAGCAATATAACAGCAAACTTTAAGAACTCACATATGTGTGTGATGCTTCTTGATAAATGTGTTTCCAGTTATGTGGCTGTGGAAAGTACTAGTAATGAAACTACTAAGTTAACAAGTTGAATTTCATTGCCTATCATTGACAGCCAGACAAAGCGGGAGATACAAGAAGAAGAACGTTAACAAAAATAGAGAAAATGAAACCTGAAGAGAAACCTCCTGCACCTCCAGAAAGGTAAAACCAGCATAAATAAATGTAATTAATAAACAGTTTATTTTTGCTTCAGACTTGCTAAATATAAAGAAGAAGAAAAGTGAACCATATAAACAGCTAATTAAACAACTAACAACCATCTGGTCATTGTTCAAAATTACCAGATAAAAACTTCTTTTTAGGGCAGATCACAATAAGTAAATGTAACAAAATACAAGGACATAATTGAAAAACTGCAAAGAGTATGCGTGTTTTACAAATTTGCCACAACCGCAAGAGCAATTTCAGAATGTAAGGAATATGCAATTCTAGTGTTTCAACCAAGCATAGGCATTCTTTGGCCCTCCAGGTGTTTTGGACTCCAACTCCCACAATTCCTAACAGCCTCAGCCCCCTTCCCTTTCCCCCTCAGCTGCTTTACACCTGGAGGGCCAAAGTTTGCCCATGCCTGGTTTAAAACAAGAGTATACATCCTAGGAATTGTTTGCTGTTCTTCAAAACCTTCTGGAAACTGATGAGTAGGGCTGGACTAAAGGCTCTCCATGCCTTCTTCCAAATATTATTATATATAGATATGCTTTATTGTGTGTGTTTTGGTGTATTAATATGTTTTATAAGCTAGTCTGGAATCCTATGTATCGGTTACTGGGAGATATATTTTCTGGAATTGTCCAGTACAGTCTTTTTTTCATGTTGGGAGCGACTTGAGAAACTGCAAGTCGCTTCTGGTGTGAGAGAATTGGCCATCTGCAAGGACATTGCCTAGGGTACACCCGGATGTTTTGATGTTTTACCATCCTTGTGGGAGGCTTCTCTCATGTCCCTGCATGGGGAGCTGGAGCTGACAGAGGGAGCTCATCCACGCTCTCCCCAGATTTGAACCTCCGACCTGTCAGTCTTCCTTCAGTCCTACCGGCACAAGGGTTTAACCCACTGCGCCACTGGGGGCTCCCGTCCAGTACAGTAATAGCAGTTAAATACCCTTTCCTCTATAATTTATTTGCTTATTTTGTTAAAAATACAGGGTACAAACTTTTCCTTCGAAGCAGAAGGAACATCTGAAAATGAAAGAAGACCTAGCTAAAGCCCAGGTAAGCAGAGTAACTTTTTGGACAAGATAAAGCTTCCTACAATTGCCTTTATCTGTTGGAGAATTTCACAAAAAAACATAGCCTCAAAATTGGCTGAGATGAAAAAAGAAACATTTCTAGTTCAGATGCAATAACTTAATCTTCATTTAGGTTCTACAGAAAAGGGGGATATTAGGGTTCATAATATCATTTACTGTAAATCTAGAAATTTGGATCAAAAATTGATGTACAAAACCTGGGTTGAGTTATCCATGGGTCAATGTAAGAACTGAGCATAGAGTCCAATAAAAAAGGAATCATTCCTTTCTCTGAGTAGACTGTCAGAAGGTGAGAACTTTGGCCCCTCCTACACAGCTGTATAAAATCCACATTATCTGCTTTGAACTGAATTACATGGCAGTGTAGACTAAGATAATCCAGTTCAAAGCAGATAATGTGGACTTTCTGCTTTGATAACCTGGATTATCTGGCAATGTAGAAGGGGCCTTAGTCCATTCCAGGAAAACCTGAAATAAGCACCAACCACGTAGAGCCCTTCCACACAGCCATATAACTCAGAATATCAAGACAGATAATCCACAATATCTGCTTTGAACTGGATTATCAGTGTCCACACTGCCATAAAATTCAGTTCAATGTGGAATTTATGCAGCTGTGTGAAAGGGTCCTTTTACTCTCCGCTATGGCATCACTTCTAGTCTTTTTTAATGTTCCGATGGGAAATGGGAATGACAGATCTTTGGTGCTTCCATTAAAAGACCTCATAGAAAAGCCAATTCATCTCTTTTTTTGGGGAAATAATACATGTGCAGAGGGGTAGAATATATTTTATATTTTATAATTTAAATATGAAAGAAATTCCTAAATATAAATGAACACGTAAAAATAAAACTTTGATATTGCAGGCAAACATTCAGTCACTTGAAAATGAGAAGAAAATGCTTGAAGAGAAACTGCAGAAAGTAATGGAGGTACTACTTTCAGCACATTTTGGTCTGTAAATATCGTACAAAAACAGTAAATGAAAATAAGTTTGAATATTTAACCTAATAAATTATATAACTCTCCAAAGTACTGGAAAACTCAAGACAATATGTGAAATTTAGCCCGTATGTTCACTCTACTACCCTTGGCTCTAATTAAATATGTAGGATTTCCAGATCACAGTACTATATTATAGTCCCAGTAGAGTTTGCAATGGGAAGAATAACTATGCCAATATTAGGCCTACTTATCTCCTATCTTATTGGCTCCTGGACCAACTGTTGCTAATTCATCAAGTCTTCCTTACCTGCTCATTTCACGTCTATCCTCTGAATCACTGCTCTTCTGTTAGGCGTGCTCTAAGATCTGCCAGGGAGGTCCTCTTCTTGGTCCTGCCTCTGTCTTTAGTGTGGTTGATGGGGACAAAGGAGAGGGCCTTCTCAGTGGTGGCTCCTCGACTCTGGAATGCCCTCGCCAGTGAACTCAGACAAGCCTCTACACTTCAGCATTTTAGGAAAGAGTTAAAAACTTGGTTTTTCCAGCAGGCATTTGATAATGGTTTAGACAGAACTGATTGTCAATCACTTAGCACTTTATATCTATATTCTGTGCATTCAGCTAGGCTGCTATATTGATTACATGAATCTTTTAATTGATCCAATTTATATACCTGATTTACATAATGTATTATTGTTTTCATGTTGGTGTATTTTATTTTATGTATTATGTATTTTATGTATGGCATCTTTGTGTGCTATTTTGTAAGCTGCCCCGAGTCCCTATGCGAGATGGTGGTGGGGTATAAATAAAGTTCTATTATTATTATTATTATTATTACTTACTTTCTCCTCAGATTACTTTTGAACTTAGTGTCTTTTTATTAGTCTTTTAACCACTTGTATGAAGCCTGAACCATAGATTGTTGTGGTTTTTTTTTTTGCCTTTTGATATCCCATCTTCAACCTGTCCTGCAAATCTACTTCTTCAAAAATATGAAATTGCTATACACCAATGGCTTTGTTCTCCAAGCAACTGGAATGTTTATGAACATTTTTGTGCCATCAGATCAGCTTAGACGTTAGAAATGTAACTTTCAAAATAACTTAACTTAAGCAGCTGAGGGGGAAAAGGAAGGGGCCTAAGGCTGTTAGGAATTGTGGGAGTGGAAGTCCAAAACACCTGGAGGGACGAAGTTTGCTCATGCCTGGGCTAGAGCGTACTGTCCAACTTGAGTCAGTCTACTAATGTTTCTTCTTTGTCTAACAGAGACATTTCTCAGTAAAATGAGGAAGAAAATACATTTTCTGTAAATACTCGTCTCCCCCATCCTGCTTCTTTGATACGTTTGATACACATCCTGCTGTGTTGTGGGCTTTATGCTGAAATACTGAGAGACTTTATATAGACATTGAAAACCTTTCTATCCTGCACAGAATAAGCACATTTCGAATTATTTAATCAGAAATACTGTGTTTTGTTTTATTTCCTAGGAGGCTGGGCAGGCAAAGGGTCAACTTGCAGAAATACCTCCAACTACGCCAGACTGGGAGTTCCCTTATAGAACAATTGTGGAAGATGACAAAGATGTTTCAAAGAAAGGCAAAAAGTCAACAAAAACAAAAGGCAAAGGAGAAGATATGAAACTGGCTTCTATTAGCGGAACTGACAGACCAGGAAAAGCAGGTGAAATACTTCCAGGAAAGAGTCAGGACCTTGCTGAAACAAAACCTAAGAGAAAAGCGAGTCTGATACAAGATAAAGAGCCTATTACTCCAACTGAGAAAAGGGAAGAGACCAAGAAAACAAAAGCTAAAACAGAGGCAGTAAGTAATGTTTATTATCATTTTTTTTAAAAAATACTCGAGTTATTTTTGAGTGAAGAATCTTTTACACATTAACCCAATTTCTTCAATTCTTAGACACAATTCCCACATCTCTAAAAGTGGGGTGCATCTTAGAATTATAGGCACATTCCTTATGCAGGCAGTCCCCAAGTTATGAACAAGATATATTCTATGTTGTCAAAGGCTTTCATGGCCATAATCAATGGATTGCTGTGAGTTTTCTGAGCTGTATGGCCATGTTCCAGAAGCATTCTCTCCTGAAGTTTTGCTCATATGTATGGCAGGCATCCTCAGAGGTTGAGGGGTCTCATCTCTTTCGCCCACATCTATGGCAGGCATCGTCAGCTTCTGAGGATGTCTGCCATAGATGTGGGTGAAATGTCAGGAGATTATATATATATATATATATATATATATATATATATATATATATATATATATCCTGACAGTTCTTCTGTACCCCTGTTCAGAAGATTTCACCTAACTTTATGTCCCTGTGATACTTTTGAAATTTTTTCTTTGTTGTGGAAACAAGGATTGGTGATACGGTTTAGGTGGATGCACCTGATGACTCTTTCAGGAATGAATTCCCTTCCAAGGGGTAGATTCTCTCACTCCCTATTGTTTCACCCCCCCCCCCCACGGTTCTTAACTGTGAGTCAGTTATAAGTCTGATGTTTGTAACTTGGATACTGCCTGAATATAAATAAAGCTTTTCTTCTTTGTAGCCTCTGTGAACTCACACATGCCAATGTTCTGTGCCTGAACAGAGCAGTTTGGAACTTTTTCGACTTCTAAAATGATATTTTTTGGGAGGTAGCCACAATCACTCTCCCCAAAGATATTTATTTATTTATTGAAGACATTTATATTCCACCCTTCTCACCCCAACGGGAACTCAGGGCAGAGCACAACATATAAATGAGAAACATTCAATGCTGGAACATAAATAGATTATACACATACATAAACAATAATTTATCTCAACATTAAAATCCACTGTTTAAAGCCATCTCAGCCACCTGCATTGAATCTGGTTGGCATGGTGAGGTTTCCTATTGCTGCTTATTGTACTGTTCCAAAAGCTTGGTTCCACAGCCAAGTTTTTGCCATCCTTCTGAAGGACAGGAGGGAGGGGTCTGATCTAATCTCACCAGGAAGGAAGTTACATTTCTGGGGGGGGCTATCACTGAGCAGGCTCTCTCTCTCTCGTCCCCACCAATTACGCCTGAGACTGTGGTGGGACAGGGAGCAAGGCCTCCCCGGAGGATCTTAATTTCCATGATGGTTCATAGGGGGAGATGTGTTCGGACACGTAAATTGGGCTGGGGTCGTTTAGGGCTTTATAGGCCAAAGCCAGCACTTTGAATTGTGCTTGGTAGAAAACTGGCAACCAGTGGAGCTGACGTAACATGGGAGTTGTGCCTCTCATTGGACTATTTGAAGCTTCCAAATAGTCTTCAAAGTCAACCCTTTGAAGACTAGAGCATGTTGCAGTTGTCTATCCTAGATGTAACAAGATATAAATAGGTGGATGTGCCAAAAGCTTTAGTTTATTTTTTCCATTATTGCAGCAACACTATTGCAGCTTCCACTATGGGAGTCAGAAACCTTGTGTCTTTTGTATCCCCCCCCCCCCCCCCAAGCTTTCCTTAGATTTTCTGGCTTAACTCATGATCAATGGTGTCTTAGAATGGAAGAAATATGGCACATTTCTCCCACCACAATGTTGTTTCCCTTTCATTGGACTTTGTCTGAAGAGGCATACCTTTAGAAATATGTTTGTGTAGCAACGAGGCAGCTGAAGGCTTTTGTTAAGCAGAAGAAGAACTCCCTTTGGAAGATAGGGTGGAATATAAATAAAGTTCTTTATTATTATTTTGATATATATGCTGCATATATAGGCCTATAATTTTACAATAATATTTTTGTCTTCAAAGGTGGATTCCAAAGGTGTGCCAAAAACTAAGGACTCTGGGGAAATGAAAAAGCAACGAAAAGGGTAGGCATACTTGAAATTTCATCCTATAATGGTAAAATTACATAGAGCTGTTTTCCAGTATTTGCTACCAGTGTGCTAGACGCTCTCGATGTTTATCAACTTTGATTTAATGTTTAGACTTGTTGAAAAATATTGCACAATATCTGACAGCAAAGACATCCTGTTGTCTTGAAGAGCCTTGGAATCACAGCTAGAAGCCACAATGACATCTTCATTTTGTGGCATTCATTCATGATTCCATTTGCAGAATCTCACATATAGATTTAATATTATTATTTTCTAAGAACAGTTTACTTGAACTTTGTAAACTATAGATTTTTTTTACTGTTTTTGCTAAACATCTAATCAGGTCTTATCTTGTGGTGTTTTACATTAGGATATATGTACAGACAATCCCTGAGTTATGAACATCCAAATTACAAACAACTCATAGTCATCAATGAGCCTCTCTTCTCCCTGCCTACCATGAAATACTAGCACTGAACCAAAATGTTTCTTTATCTCTCCACCTTCCTTTCCTTTTTCTTCCTATTGATATCTCCCCAAATTTCTGGGATTTATAGTTTGGTGAAGTAGCAGCATTCTTTGGCAGAGAAAGCTAAAGACCTTGTAAAACGACAGCTCTCAGAATCCAAGAGCAATGAACCAGGGCAGTTAAAGTGGTGTCAAACTGCAATCATTCTGCAGCATAAGTACACCCTAAGGAAGATGGGGCAGAATAAAAAGGGGAGACTCCTTGGGGGAAGGGATATCTATTTCTATGTTTTTCCTTTCATTTGCTTGGAAGCTTTGGTGCTTTTTTATTAAAGGGAGTCTAATCACACAGGAACTATAATGTGCACCTTTTGCGGCCAAATTGCAAAGAGTGCACTTTTTGCTGAACCTGTTCTTTCTGACTTTCAAACTAATACCTCTTAAGAATGAACCTAAAAACTTACCTTATCTTGGGGACTGCCTGTATGAGAGTTTTCTTTTGTCTCTATGATGCTATGACATTTTACTTGATACATTTTGGGACGTAATAGTAGTTATCAGGGATTTCTACCCTTTAAGACTGAAAACTTTCAAACCCAGTCAGGTCTTGGAACCTCTTTGAAGTATCCTAAAGAAGAAGGAATTGTCAAAACCATCTCTGCATATCCATCCTCTATGAAAATCCTATGAAATTCATGGTGGGCACATATACTTGACTGCATATGCAGGCAGTCCCCAAGTTACGAGCGAGATAGGTTCTGTAGGTTTGTTCTTAAGTTGAATTTGTTTGTATGCTGGAACAGGTACATTTTTTTCAGTATAGCTCCAGCTTTGAATAGCATAGATAAGGGTGAACAACACCCCTGTAGTGTTTGTTTTGCTGTCTGTGTGCCCTGTTCAAAACATTTCACTGCACTTTCAGTCCCTGTGATAATTGGATTTTGAAAAATTTGGCCTGTTGTGGAAATAAGGATTGATGAAAAAGCTTCAGTGGAGACACCTTTTCCCCACGATCACACTTCCAGGAGTGATTTTCCCTTCCTGGAAATAGATTTCCCTCTCTTCCTGTTGTTTCACCCCCGTTTGTAACTATCAGTCCTTTGTTAACTCAGATGTTTGTAACTTGGGTACTGCCTGTACACACTCATATCCCTCTTCAAACAGCATTTTATATGAGTCAGAATGAGCTGTATTTGAAGAACTCAGTCAATGTAGTTTCTTCCAGTTGCTTTGAAATGCTGGTATATAGGAAACCTGTATCATATGTTCTAAGTGAATACTCTCCTATTTCTTATTCCATTTGTTTTGGTGGTGAGCAACATTAACAACATTGAGAAACCCAGATGAGTGTTTTTTATATGGTCATATGACACTGTACTTCATTTTTACACAATTCATTTGACTATGTGGTATTTCACGAAGTCTAAGTATTTCCTAGATATTTATTGCTAAGTTATTTCACTCTGTAATATGGCAAATTGTATATTTTATTGTTTTTAGTGTTGTTAGAAAATAATCCTTGAAATATAAAAAAGTGGGATGAAAAAATACTTTTCATTTTTATTTCACCCAGATTTTCTAAAATATCATTTAACAAAGAACAGTCAAGAATCACCACTTCTTAAATTGAACTAATTTGACAGGGCAGAAAAGCCAATTTTGATCTAGAGTGAGGTACTCGAATTAGCATTGTCAGAGACTACACTGCCAATTGGATGGTGGCTGAATGGCTGAGCAGCATTCGAATCAATTTAGCATCACTTGCCTGGGGCCTTATCTTGCCTCCCTCAATCTGCTGTTTGCAGTGTCCACTAGGCACAAAAATGAAACTGGACAGTGCTTGACACCTGGATTGATAATATCCAGTGATGCAAGAGAGGGAAGGGGGGGGGGAGGAAGAGTTGCTTCCCCCTCTCCCTGCTTCCTTCTCCAAGTGCCTTGGCATTCTGGATATCTGTGACTCTATGTGTCATGTAACCTAACCACCTAGGAGATGACCCTAACATGCCAGTGAAGATGCGCCCTTAGTGGCTGTTGGTGTATTTGTATTCAGCTCTGCCTTACATACTGTTACACAATTATTGCATTTCAGTATTGTACCTTTGTGGTTCTAATATAGCAACTAATGACTTAAATGCAGTTGTTAGTCCTAGTTACAGCAAATCCATTGCACTTATGAAATATGTATTAGGTTATTTTATTTGGTTTTGTGAGTTTTTTCTAGCTTCATCTGTTAACCCTATTTGTTTTAAGGCTGATAGCAAAATATTTGTTCATATATCTCCAGACCAAGCTCTTTGCTTGTCCTTCTCCTGGACTCTGTGTTTAACTTCCTTTTCTCATTTGTGGACTCCCAGCAGTTTTAAATTTGATGCTATATCTGCATTGAAAGTATGATTTGCTTTCATTTTGTATTGTTCCAATTTTTAAAATAACATATCAATTGTTTTGGTCTTTTCATTGTCTGTTACTTTGTGAAATATTAGTGAAAATCTAAATATTTTAAAGAAATAGATAAACAAATAATAGGGACTGGAGGAGAAGAAACAAGTGTCTAGATGTTCATGCAATTTAGATATTTACTCAGAGCGTATGTGGTGGTATTTCTTTTAAATTGTATTTTTAAAAGGAAAATTATGAGGTCACACTACTGATTGTTGCTTTTGAAAGATTGCATTACAAATTAGACCTGATGTGAAACATATTCTGGATGTTTTTAAATTTGCAAATACTATAGCAGGCATGGGCATGGGAGTGGCACTGCAGATAAATGCCACTGTAGCTGGCACTGTAGCATTAGCCACATAAAAGAAGTTTCTATTGGCAGTATGTATTTCTGTGACTTTCCTCTTCTTGATGTTTTATTAAACCAAAGAGGACATTGTATACCGTTTCTTATGTACTAAAGTTTTAAAAATAACATCGGTCTGAGTTTCCTTATGCAAGGTGGTGAGCGATGCTTTCAGCTTTAACATAATAAATATAGGAAATATTAACTCTTAAGGTCACTGAAACAATATCCTATTAAAATTAATCCCGGGTTGCTCTTTAGGTCTTAAAAGAATTCCTGAAAACCTTTGAAGAATACCTTCAAAATTCCATGCGGCGTGAAATAAAACCAAAACAGGATGCCGGGTCTTGCTGCTGAATAAATAAGATGGTTTGAGCTCCAGCATATTCTGTAGTCTTATTAGGCATTAAGGAGACAATGAATAGGAATGTTTGATTCAGCATGAACAAAGAATACATTCACTTTTAGCCACTTGTTTTTAGTCTATGTGCATTAATTCATCATTTTGAGTATGCATTGACCACTTATCCCAATCTGGCCAGATGGGGCACTGGATACTTCAGACTGTCACAATTGTGGTGTCAAATTCTGAGAGAATATAAAGAATTCTGAAGTGCCTGGCAAATCTTTCACAGCAAGCAACCAAGGTTTCATTCCTCGTCTCTGGGCCCAGTGCCAGCAGGCTTCACAATACATGGGATAATTCTGGACAGCAAGTCAATGATGCAATGCTATAAAAGTAATTTTTTGGTGCAAGCATACTTTCCATAGCTTTAAGAGAATGTCTGTTATGATAGGGAATATGTGTTAGGCTTATTGCTTTGTTTGCTTGTAAGATACTTTCAAGCAGCCAAAATTTATTTAAAAGACAATGGGAACCATGGGGGATCTCACAATATGCTTTGGTCTTCCCTAAATTACATATCAGCTGCTCCAGATCATTGTCCTTTATATATTGATGTACAGTCAGCTAACCAAAAACATAGTAGAAATCTGTGTCAAGTTGGTGTCAAGAATAGCCAGTAATAGCAAGAACATGCACTCAGATAAAGACGGAGAGTTGTGTAACATTTAGCAAACTTTGGGACAACCCAAATCATATCCTTATGTCTCCAGCACAGTATCCTCTACTTCATGGCATAGAATAATATGTTGCTTAGTGCTTTGCTTTGGCATAAAACTGTTAGACATGATATATCCATATACATAAGGTCCAATGTCCAGTGTGATGGTGGGGAGGCGGGCAAGAGAGAGAAAGAGAGTGTCCATGAGCATGCATTATGTACTTTAGTTCTAAAATTGTACAAAGGCAGAAATATTATTCAAGAGCTCAGAATATGCCATCTTCTGTGCAATGTGAGGCCATAAATAAAACTCTGAGAATCAGAACAAAGCAGCCTACGTTCTCCTTGGCCTGATACTTGTGGGTATCCTATGTGGTACCATATCAAATCTTATGGCATACCGTTTTGATACTCTTTCACCACAATCCTTGCTGCACGGAAGAAGAGTCAAGGCTTTGGAGGATGAAGATCTCTGGATGCATTGCTCCATATAATGAAATCCATGGGTATAGTTAACTGTTCCCAAAAGTGTCAACATATGCAAGTACATTAGACTGATGAATCTGTCACAGAGATTGTTATTTTTTTCAATAGCAGTAGTTCTAATAAACATTCTGTCTGCTCAGAAAGCATAGACTTTTTGATTCCCCAACCTGAGAGTTAAACAGATTTTTTAAAAAGTCCCATAGATTTGCCCCCCAACATGGGAAGGCTCCCATGTTGCCATGGTGGCAGAGTGCACTGCTTTATCTCCTTTTTCAGCACGGGGCAAGACCAGAAGTGCCCGTGAATAGTGTGAAGTGCTCCGTGCTGAAAATGAAGGAGAAGCAGCGTACGATGGGCAAATCGGCCCATCTGATGAGGTGGTAAAGCAATGTCATAGTCAAAATGTTTTTATTAATAATAAACCCCCAAAATTTCCAAGGAAACAAAAAACAGAGCAATAATGGTGTGGTGGTTTAATCATTGGATTACAACTTTGGAAACTAGGGTTCAAATTCTCACTCAGAAATCTACTAAGTAATCTTGGACAAGTTGCATTCTCAACATCTGGAAAGTAAAAGTGAAACCTCCTCTGAACAAATGTTTGCAAAACCCCCACAAAACCCTGTGATGGCTTTGCCTTAGGGCACTTCCAGACAGTGTCATATTGCAAGGTCAAGGAGCAAGGCAAAATCGTGAGACCTGACAGCAAGTCCACACACAGTCCTGCCAGTCCTGAAATATGATCTCCCATCATCCTAATGCCTTTCTTTGAAGTGAATTTTACCAATACACAGGACAGAAGGGGGGTGGGGAACATCTAGCGGAGATCCTAATGTACACACACAGATTTCTTATTCTCTCTCTTCACTCAATTATAAATTCAAGTTCTGTTTAATTTTGTAAACATTAAGAAAGGAATGGCTTCAGAGAGTAATAATTGCTTTCCAACTGTGATTAGTTAGATTGAGCCACTTGTGTGTCCGTGACTCTGTTTTTTGACAGCTCGATCAGCTGTTTTGGGTTTTTTAAATGTGCACCTGCGCTGGAGCAGTCCACACAGGAGGCTCAGAAATAAATCACACAGTTTTCATGAATGCAGGGATATACAATCATGTGAAAGTGCACATTTTTGGGGGCAGAATCGGGAAATACTATGAAACAGGAATCTAGTCTGAAGAGATGACAGTTCTATGTGTTTTGTAGAATACTTACCACATGTGACTTACTCTCAGACAGACAAAGACACCTATATAAAATACCCACCTTTTGCTTTGCATGATTACTCCACATGCATGCTGCTCTGGGGCAGGGATGGATTTTGTTTTGCTGTCAACTACATGTCTTAGAAACTTTGCAAGTTTTCCATCACTCCTGGGGTTTTATCTTACAAATTTATTCATAGATTTTTTCTTATTCTTTTTAATTTGCTATTATTTTGGGTGCATTTGCATTACATAATTAATGCAGTTTGATACCACTTTGACTGTCATACTCAATGCTATGGAATTGTGGGAGATTTGGTTTGATTACGAACAAGCACTCTTTGGCAGAACCGGCTTAAGAGCTTATACAACTACAACTCCTAAGATCCCCTAGCATTAAGCCATAGTAGTTAAAGTTGTGTTGGTTATCAAAGTAAGGTGAATCTAAATGAGTTCTATATGTTCTAAAATAAAATTAGAAACAAAAGATTTGATTCAGGTATCCAACAGATTTTGGGCAACTACTGCGCCAATTCAGCGAATCACATTTAATCGTGATATTTGAAATTGGAAGACTCAGCTATAAATTGAACATCTCTAAGGAGGAAATATGCTATGGATAGTCAGGCCAAGTCACAAGATGACCCAGAAAACAGAATGAGTGTTCTCCAAATTCCTTGCTTCTTTCCAACCTTTTTATTGTACAGTATGACCCCCACATGTTCCAAGATCCGATATGGATACTTGAAACTATAGGTAATAGTGAACCATATATTTTGACTATAATTTGGCTGGAAGCATACAATATAATAATACTCAAAGACCTAGAGAGATCCAGAAACATCTTTTTTGAATGTTGGTAAGTCACACTGTGGATATTTATTTATTTATTATTATTTATTTATTTAGGATATTTGTACCCTGCTCTTCTCAACCTCCTGGGGGAGACTCAGGGCGGCTTCCAGCCGGCACATATTTGATGCCTACAAATAAACACAATAAAATGCATACCAAAACCAATAATTATAAATAGTTAAAAACATTAAGTTAATACAATAAAATCTACAAAAAATAATAATACACCAGACTAGTGGCTATTGTCTATATTGACTCCTTGGATAGGCAGATTATATTGTCATTGAAAAAACTGGGCCCAGGTTTTCACATAGTGACTGTGGCCTGCCTCCTCTTTCTCTAATAGAAGTAGTTACATTGGGTTTCCTCATAGTTTCTGAGAGATCCCAGCATCAGTACTGGAATTTGCTCACAGTTTATTTATAAGTATGTCATATAGTATATACACAGTACACAAAGAGTGACTGTGAAAGCCAACCATCTTAGTGCCTTTGTAAACCAGGTTTTACCACTGCATCTTCTGTAGAAAGAGGGTATCAGGAAATCAGAAGGCATTTACTCCTTGGGAGGAGAGCAATGATCAATATCGATAAAACAGTGGAGAGTAGAGACATCGCACTGGCAACAAAGATCTGCATAGTTAAAGCAATGGTATTCCCCATAGTAACCTATGGACGTGAGAACTGGACCATAAAGAATGCTGAGTGAAGAAAGATAGATGCTTTTGAATTATGGTGCTGGAGGAAAATTGTGAGAGTGCCTTGGACCGCAAGAAGATCAAACCAGACCACACTCCAGGAAATAAAGCCCAACTGCTCACTGGAGGGAAGGATATTAGAGGCAAAGATGAAGTACTTTGGCCACACAATGAGAAGGCAGAAAAGCTTGGAGAAGACAATGATGCTGGGGAAAATGGAAGGAAAAAGGAAGAGGGGCTGAAAAAGGGCAAGATGGATGGATGGTATCCTTGAAGTGACTGGCTTGATTTTGAAGGAGCTGGGGGTGGCCATGGCCGACAGGGAGCTCTGACATGGGCTGGTCCATGAGGTCACAAAGAGTCAGAAGCGACTGAACGAGTAAACAACTTCTTCAGAGACTTCTAAGGAGGAATCATTCATTTCCAATTTAAAAAATGTTTATTTTCTAAAAAAAACACTGACAAAGAATATGGAATACTGTAGGCAAATAGATTAGATAATGTGAAATATGAACTAGCAAAGGATCTGAGCTCATCAGAAAGGTTTTCTCCCATAACAAGTATGTTTGATGGGCAAGCAAGCAAGGGCTTTCTCGGTAGGTGATCCTAGACTCTGGAATTCCTTTCCCAGGGAAGCCAGAAAGCCCTCCTTGTTATCCATCTAACTCAGTGGTTCTCAACCTGTGGGTCCCCAGGTGTTTTGGCCTACAACCCCCAGAAATCCCAGCCAGTTTACCAGCTCTTAGGATTTCTTGGAGTTGAAGGCCAAAAAATCTGGGAACCTGCTGGTTCCTAGGGGGACTCTAGCTGAAGGCTTATACCTTTTAATTTAGACAAGATTTTTAAAAACAAATCATTAATGGTTTTAACAATTGTATTGAGTTTAATTCCATTTTAACATCTATCTTTTGTATGTTTTAAACTGTTTTGTTTTTAAAATTGTGATCCATGTTGGGTCCCAGTCCTGGGAAATAGCAGTATACTAACACCACTGCTACTATGATATTGCTATTCAGTTACCTATAATACACTTGCATAATAATTCTGCTCCATAATCCAACAGAGTCTGGGGGAAACTAAATGTATTTTAGTTTGAAGTAAAAT